CAAGGCAGGCTCCAGAGACCCTGACTCCACAACGAAGTGGAACCCTGTGATCTTGATTACTTCTGGCTGTGGAGTCTCAACTTGGGGGTTTCTGGAAAGTATAACAATGATAATAACAAATTTGGCAAAGCCCCCTCACTGCCCTGCCCCAAAGCTGCCCTTGCCCAGCTTAGGGAGGTCCAGTGGCTTCAGGGCTCACCAGATTTTTTGACCACTTGGACTCCTCAGATAAGATGCACCTCTTCCTGATGATGTTCAAAGTAAACCCTCATTTGATCTTCTAACCATGTGTAGGGTTCAGGGCTTTGAACTGGTTCTTCTCAATTTAGTTGTAGCTGATTGAAGCAAAACTGAAATGGACCCAAATTTGTAAAATGTGGGTGAATAACAATAATAACTGTGATGGGAAAAGTTATGGGTCAAGACCCTGCTACGAACTTAATCTCCCTCTTAGAAAATAAGGGCAGCATGAGTTTTGGTAGCAACCAAATCTCTAGAGTGAAAATAGCGGCGCTCTACTCAAAGGTCGTGGCTAATCACACTGTCGTTATTGTTAAATACCATGGAGTCGGTTCTGACTCATAGTGACCTGCTACAGGGTTTCTGAGACTGTAAATCTTTACAGGAGCAGAACGCAAAACTTATCTTTCTCCCGCAGAATGGCTGGTAGTTTCGAACTGCTGACCTTGAGGTTAGCAGCCTGATGCGTAACCACTACGCTACCAGAGCTCCTTGCTAATCACACTACTTGGGGTATATTTGTTCTGCACAGTCTTGGCAGTTGTCGAATCTCCCACATCAGGTTCCTGAAAACAACTCACTACGCTGGCTCTGAATCTCCCACTCCAGGGCTTTGACCCATAATTGCTCCCATTCTGGTGATTGTTCTGGTACATCCACATTTTACAAAATTGGGTCTGTTCTGATTCCATGGAATCCTCCATGGCTGAGCCAGTTTTAACTAGTTTGAAGTCCTGCTAGGGTCTGACTGTTGAAGATGAGATTCAGGGCATTTGGCTTTCTCTGCATGACCCTGACCCTTGCGTCGTCATTAGGTCTCTGGGTTAACTTACACCATTACCTGATGGAGAGCAATGCTAAAAGTTTTCCATTTGACCCTTGGATCTGAACGGTCACTGGGAGAGCTGCCCAGCACGAGCATGGGCAGTCATTGAGAAGCAGCAAAGGCCTGGCTTAGTGATCACCTTTGGGCTTGTTTCAACCTCCTGTGTCTGATTAGTAACCCCCAAGGAACTGATGGTGGGGTGTTGCAGGTGGCTCAAGGTCTCCAAAATGGTTTCCTGGAGCAGGATTCCCTGTCCTGTGGGTGTCTTGGACGCATGAACTACCCCAGGTAAAGTCAGAGGGGCTGGTGTTGCCTCAGGATGGAGAAGAACTTCCAAAGATGGAAAGGGCTTCAGGTGAGGTCTGACGAAGGCTGAGGCCAGATGGCCTCTGATGCCTGGTGAGGCAGTAAACACATACGCCTTTATGAACACCAGATAACACCTGACCTTTGAGCTGCCAACATCTGTCTGGAGTTTACCTTCCCAGAAACCTCTCAACTTAAGCAGGTGGTGAGAGAGGCCTATGGGTAAACTCCTTGTTAGTTGTTGTCAGATGCCCTGGAGTTGGTTCCAAATCATAGAGAACAACAAAACAAAACACTGCCTGGTCTGTCCTATGCCAGCCTCACAATCATCACATTAGAACCCGTTGCTGCTGCCACTGTGTCCGTCCATCTGGTTGCACATCTTTTTCACTGACCCTCCACTTTATTGGCTTCTTTCATTTAGCACTGGACTGCAAGGTCTCTTTGAATGTTTTAAGTCAATGGTTCACACTCACCAGCCGCTCCTTGGAAACCCTATACAGGGTCACTATGAGTCAGAACTGACTCGATGGCACTAAACAACAACATTTAAGGCAGGGTTTCAAACCAGTTCTTCCTAGTTCAATTGTGGCTGGCAAAGCGAAGCCAGTATAGACCCAAATTTGTAAAATGTAGGTGAACCAGGGCAATAACTAGAAGGGGAAACAACAGGCCAGCACTCTGCTAGAAACTTAATCTCCTGCTTAGAAAACAAGGGCAGCATATGTGTTGTATAACAACCAAATGTCTTATCCAGCAGAGTTCAAACAATAGTGCCCCACTCAAAGGTGGCAGTCAACCGTGATGCTTTTGAATGTGTATGGCTCTCCATAATTGACAGTAAGCCAGTCTCCTGCACCAGGTTCCTAAAAGGCTTGTTCCAAGTCTCTCACCCTAGGGCTTCAACTATAATTTTTCCCCTTCCAGTTGTTGTTTTGCATTACCCGCATTTTACAAATTTAGGCCTGTTTCCGATGCTTCATTGGCCATGGCTGAACTGGTTTGAAGCACTGATTTAAGTTTCCTTTTGTCTTTATCTGGGTCCTATTACCCCTTGATTCCTACTTTCCGTTTCTGAATCAACAAAAAGCCAAAGGAGAGGAGTCTTTTGGGGCATGCAGGGTGGTGCTGATCTCCCTTGGAAGCTCCTCATTAACTCTTTCCTGTCCCAGGGGCAGCAGACCTCAGGCTTGGGGAGTGAGTGGATGAGTGAGCTCAACTTTGGCTTCTCTTGCAGATCCACCTGACGGACCACCTGGGCCAGCTCTCGCACATCCTGGAGATGGACCACTTTGCCCTGGTGGTACACGAGCAGATTCAATGTGAGTGGGGCCCCAGCATAGGTCCAGGCTGGTGGGGAGCTCAGGGGCCAGTGCAGGGCAGCAGGTGGAAGACTGCATGCAGCAGGAGGGGCACACTTGCCTTCCTCTGCACCAGCCTCCACGGTGTGGGTCTCCTGCAGAGGCGAGGTCTACATAGTAGCGCAAGCTCTCCATCTGTCACTGACCTTCAGCCTCCCGGCTTTGACCTCCAACCCCAGACCCTGCACTGAAGTGCCTTAGTATTGAAGAGGTGTGGCTCACTCCACTACCCAAGCTCTTAGGAGGCATGAAGGCTGGGCTGTGCATGGGGCAGGGGTTGGAGGTCGCACAGGGGAGGAATGTCCAGGTGCAAGTGTTGAGGCCCTTAGTCTCTGAGACTGCAGAGGTCAATACCAGAAGAATCTGCAACAGTCAACAAGTCTCCACACTTGAATGTCCTCATCGAGGTTCTAGTTCTTCTGCACCTCCCTCACTCCTGGTCTTGTCTCTCATGCTCTATGGTCAGAGTTCTGGGGTATCTCTAAAGGGGATCCTAGACCAGATAGATCTCACAGGCTAGCCTGTACTCATGAAGCCACTCCCCAGCCCCACCCCTCTACCCCCTCGGTCATCCTCAGAGCCTCTTCATAGACCAGAGTTCTTATTCTCTGTGAATAGAACAAACAGCTCCTGCCCTAGGGCCCACAGTCAGGAACTGGGGGTGGGGAGGCAGCCTGGAGCCTGCCTGCCCTAACTCCTGGCCTTGTGCATAGCAGGCATGGTGGGTTAGGGTTAGAAATGGTCTCTCTCTAACCCCATCTCCTGCCCTTGGCTCCGCAGCGCAGGACCAGGCCTTGTCGGGCGTGGTGGGGGGGCCTGCAGGTATGTACGAGACCTCACCCACACCTATATGACCCCTTAGGACCGAGGAGAGCATCCAAGGCCCTGGGCTCCCCAGCTTCTGCCGCTAACCCTCACTGCTAGGCAGTGTGACCTCCAACTCCCCTTGGGGCAGGGCCAGCAGGTGGGTGGGCCGAGGAGTGGCCCTCCTCTACTTAGTCTCACTGACTTGAGTTTGGGCATCTCAGGCTCTGGCATCTTCAACATTGCCCTCCATGCCTCTGAATCTCAGGTAGCCAACTTCTGTGCTCCCTTTGCTTTTCCCCAGAGAGAAGAACCGTCTCTAGAGGCAGAGGGCTCCCCACAGAGCTGACCTCTGCTAGCAAAGACAGGAATAGGGGGGCTGTGGGGATGCTCACAGTACTGGGGAAAGGGATCCGATGGGTTGACCTGGGTATTTTGTGTTTGCTCCTCTGCCCCAGAATGGGGGTCCTAACCATTCTTTACCCCACTTCAAGGGTCCTCTTCCAGGGAGGATGGGAAAGGGTTCTAACCACTCTCTGCCCTGGGGCACCGAGATCAAAGGCAGGCATTTGTTCTAAGATTGAGCCTGGAAAGCATAATGGGGCAGAGGTTTTGAGTTGCTCTTCGCCCTTGGGGTGAGCAGTATTTAAATTTCATCCTTGGGCCTTGAGGAGCCCCACAGGCTTTGTCCATAGAGAATTCTGGACGCCTGGCCAGTGGAAGCGGGCTTGGTGCTGCACTGGTCCTGGTGTGGGCTCTGCTCTGCAGCTTGGACCAAATGCCAGGGCACCCCCTGTCGAGAGAAGACCACATTTACTGTTGTTTCATGGCCCCAGTGCTTGTGGGCGGGAAAGGGCTCTGGGGGTAGACACAACCATCTCAGGTCAGCTCCAACAGAGACACCTTTTCCACTGCTGTCCTGCCATTCTCTCCACAGATCACAGCCATGGCAAATCCAGTAAAAGGCAGATGGTGTTCGGGGTCGTCACCGCTATTGACTTGCTGAACTTTGTGGCTGCTCGTGAGCGGAACCAGAAAAACTAAACCTGGGGCTGCTGAACCAGTGTTGAACTCTCCTTTCTCATCCTCTTCTCTTTGCTTTCAAAACACATGATTTCTAATTGCCCAACACCGGGCATAGCAAGGAATGGAGTTGGGCTGGCAGAAATGCTACTGCTGCCCTTTTATTAGTACCTGCTACTGAAATGAATCTGTTTATGTCTTAATCTGATAAAAAAATCTCAAATTATCTTAATCTTTTCTTAAATTGCCTCTTGAAATGATTTAACAAGGAAATCATATGGGAAGAGAAGGTGGCCAGGCTCGTGAACAAAGATGGGGTGGAAGGATTTAAGGTAGTTGTTGTTACGTGCTGTCGAGTCGAATCTGACCCATAGCGACCCTGTTTAGGGTTTCCAAGGAGCAGCTGGTGAGCTTGAACCACCAACCTTGCAGTTCAAAGGACTTTGCAATCTGACGCATTAGTCAACAGCGCCACACCAGGACTCTGCACTGAATTGGCCTCATTAACATAACAGAAAGCCCTTTTCCCAAACAAGATCACAAGGTCAAGATTTCCACTCATATTTAATCCATAATACCCAGACTTCGGGCTGCGAACCTTAAGGTCAGCGGTTCGAAACTACCAGTCGCTCCGCGGGAGAAAGATGAGGCTTTCTACTCCCGTAAGGATTTACACCCTCGGAAACCCTGTACAGGGTCGCTATGGGTCGGACCCGACTCGATGGCACTTAACAACAACAACAACAACAACCCAGACTCTGTTTCTTCCTTCTTATCAAACCACATCACAAGTCATCCAAAGAGAGTTCCAAAAGATTGTGGAGAAATTCCATTATCTTTTAATTACATTTTTCCATGAACTTTTTGAACTAGTCAGAATGGTAAATCCTTGTGTAGCTCCACCCATAAAACACGGTCCTAAATGATAGCACTATACGGCCACCAGGTGCCACAACTCTTTCCATAGGAATTTAGTCCACCCTGTTCAGAAAGCAGGTGATTCCTATCCATTTTCTGTAAAGCTGTTACTCCTATTAGAAGTAGGCTTTCCCGTATTTTCATACATGCAAGCTTTGATGATGTTGGGTTGGAATTGAGCCCTTCCATGAGTACTTATTTTGCCTGAGTTGCTTTATTAATATTATTGTAAAGATTCTCATTGTCACCTTTGTCTTCCTTGGTGTTCACTAAGTGAGATAGCCTTTGTAGCTTCCACAGTCTACCCCACAGACTCCCTCAGGAAACATTAATCTAATGTTTCTGTCTGTAAAGGGCCAGGCAGAGACCCTGGATGGTACAGTTAATGTACTCGGTTGCCATTTGAAAGGTTGGAGGTTTGATTCCACCCAGAGATGCCATGTAAAAAAAGGCCTGGTGATCTATTTCTGAAAAACTAGCCATAGAAAGCTAAGTGGAGCACAGTTCTACTTGGACACTCTTTATTAAGGATGCTGAAATATGAATTGCATACCATTTTTACACAGCTTGGAGTATTAATTTGTCTTTTTTTTTTTTAACCACTTTAAAAATGTAAATTCTAGTCCTAGCTTGCAGGCTGTAGATAAGCAGGTGGCAGGTTGAATTGGGTCCATGGCCGTCATTTGCCAACTGGTGGTCTAGAGTCTTGGCCACACATGGAAGGTAGGGCATTCCCCAGGTGTGGGGCTGTGGGGAGGGGAGGAGTGCCCTCCACACTGGGAAGAGGAATGCTCCATCTCCCTGGCTCTGTTAACATTTCCCAGAACTGCAGCAGAGCGGGGCGACCATGGATTCACTTCCTGAAAAGCTCAGGTACAGGAAGGAAGACTTAGAGCTGACAGGTGTAAAATCCCAACAGCCTGCTCCTGGCTATGGGTTTACTCTAGAGACATAAACGGCACTTCCTCAGCACACTGCCTTGCCGCTCTCTATCCTAAGCTGGTCATTTGGAACTGTCTGCTGGCCTGTCTAGTTGTTCTGACCCAGCAACCCCAGAACCAACCCCTCCTGGAGAAAAAATGGCAGTGTTTGGGCCATTTTGGTGGATTTCTGAATTCAGTGTTTTCTATGCCCTCCATCCTATTCCCAAGGGCAGATGACTTCCAGATGAACTCAAACAGGAATTAACCTGAGGGAAGGAGGGAGGAGGGGGTGGGGTCTGTTGTCACACATTTTGTGAACAGAGAATTGCTTCTCACTTGTAATTTCTGTTAATAAAGATAAACAAGAAATGAAATAAAATGTTCCGTGAGCAAAAAGAACCGTGAACATCAAGTCAAAGTTGGTGTTTCTCTTTGAAGTTGGGTGGGCCATTGGCGACTTGGGTGCTTGTGGTGTCTACTCCAGGGCTGATGGGTGAGCCAGTGATGTGTTTCTAACCAACGGTGACTCCTACAGCTTGAGTCATTTTGATTTAGCTGCTTATTTTTTCAGGAATCAACTTGAAGGCAGTGGGTTGGTTGAGTTTGGTATGAGGCGACCCACGGACTGACCTGCCTCTGCATAGCACATCAGAGTGTCAAGCTCTCTTCCAGGCAATGAGCTGTAGTGACAGTCACTTCAGGACTTTACTGAAACTGTCCATGGCCTGAGGAAACACACCAGCCAGGAGAACTTCCGGCTTCCTGGTGGCTTCAGAGTAGGTTTTGCTCTGCCCCCAGAACACCTGAGTGTGCTTATGAACCAGAGTCCCCTTTCTTGGGGGGGTACTGGTTTCCTAGAAATGCCATGACAAAGTGCCACACACTTGGTGGCTTCAAACAACAGACATTTATTGTCTCGTAAGTCTTGAGGTCAGGAAGCCAAACTCAGGGTGTCCACAGGGCCACATTCCCCCCACAGACTCTAGGGAATGATGCTTTCTTGTTTCAGCTTCTAGTGATCCGTGGCTGGTGTCTGCATCACTCCAATCCTTGCCTCCAACTTCACATCACCTTCAACTCTTATAAGGACACCACTCATAAGACTAGAATTTCATGTTAACTAATTACATTAGTGACCCTATTTCTAAGCAAGGTCACATTCACAAATATAAAGATTAGGACTTAAATATATATATATTTATATATATATATATAAATATATATATATATATTATACCCACACACACAGATAAGAGAATAAGCAATTTGACCCACAATGAAGAGCTGCAGCTTCACCAACTTCGAAACGTGGATTCAGAAGGCCACCAGGAGAGAGTTGCTTCTGATCATAGCAACCCTGTATAGTTTCCTAGGAGTGGCTAGTGAGCTTGAACCACTGAACTTGTGGCTCAAACCAACCTTGCAGACCAGTGCACCGCATAGAGAAAGACAGATAACCCCTAGGTTGTATAAACCATTATCAAGCTTGGTTCTAACTGAAAGTTTGGCAGGCTGAGTGCACCAAAAAGGCCTGGTAACCTACTTTGGAAACCCAGCCATTGAAAACCCTAGGGACACAGTTCCGTGACACATGGCATTGCCATGAGTTGGAATTAACTCAGTGGTTTCTATGGGGGCTTGGGAGAGAGTGATTACTTCTTTACAGTTCACACCATTGTTGGGGACTGGCACATTTGGAATCATTGGTCAGACAACAGACTGGAGACTCCTGCAGGCTTGTGTTCCAAAATCCATAGGTCAGGCTGTGGAAAGAGTGAGGGAGTAATGGCAAAATGTCTATAGTCTGGAGGCAGAGAATGCCACAGGGAGACTCCCTTTTTGCTCAAGGCCTTTAGCTGATTGGATAAGGCCCACCCACATTGTGGAGGGTGACCTGCTTTAATTGAAGCCATCTGACTAAATCACCACCTGAGTGGTGGTTGTCGTATGCCGTGGAGTCAGTTCTGACTCAGCGATCCTGTACAGGGTTTCCGAGGCTGTAAATTTTTTCGGGAGCAGAAAGCCTTATCTTTCTCCTGCGGAACCGCTAGTAGTTTTGAACTGCTGACTTTGATTTTAGTGCCTAACTCGTAACCAATACGCTACAAATGGTTAGTGTACTCATTGCTAATCTAAAGGTTAGAGGTTGGAGTCCACCCAAGAGGTGCCTTGAAAGAAAGGTCTGGTGATCTTCTGAAAACCCAGTGGAGTGCAGTTCTCTGACACACAGTGCCTCCATGAGTTGAAATTGACTTAATGGCAACTGCTAAGTAACTACTTCATAACGACATCTAGTTGTTTTGCTGTTTGACCAAACACATGGACACCACAGCCTAGCCAGATAGATGAACACATGAAATTAACTATCATGTACACCATGCATCTGAGGTGGGAGATCACAGCTGGTTGTGCAGAGGGTGTGAGGTCTCTTCCCTGGGCCACTGACAGTGATTATGTGTGCCCACTGTGTGTCAAGTGCTGAGCTGGTCCCAGGAGGCCCATTGCCTGTCCTCGGGGCTGGTATCTGATCAGCAGTGGCGGGCAGGGCTGCTGGGCGCTCAGGTCTCCATTCTCAGAGCAGGTGATGCAGAGGGTCTGGGTCTGGTGAGTCAGGCAGATGTCCCAGCTGTCAGTGAGTCTGGAGCCCCTAGGCTGAGCAAAACACTGGTTTAGTGTGAAGGTCACATTGGACACCTCAGTTGACCCTCCCCCATAGCCCAGCTGTCCACCCAGAAGACCCTGAGCTCAAAGGATAAAGACAAAATAAACACAGATCCAGGATCTTCCTCAGTGGGTCTTAGTTTTTATGATATGTCAAGAACATCATCATACAAGGAAGGTGCCTGAGGGCCAGCGGCAGGCAGAATGGGGAAAATGTGTTCCTCTCAGGAATGACTCCTCCAGAGACCAGTTCGCCTCCCTAAATTTGCCACTTTGCCAGCCCTTTGCCTGTGGGCAGCTGCTTCATGCTTCCTCATCCCAGGGAAGGTTCCGGACCAGGTGGAAGCCAACCGTGGTGTCTTGTCACAAGCCCAAGTCCCACTGTGACCAGGAGTCCTGGAGGCAAGGAAGGTGAGTTCTGAGGGAGCCCCTGCCTATCTGCTCCCAGACAATAGTCCCCAGGGGCAGACCCCAGGGGAGAGCTGAGTCATCCCAGGCTCAGAGCAGAGGAGGTCACAT